CTTAAAGGCAAACATTTGCAGGCAAAGTGCCCAAGAAAGGGGTTTTTGAAACACCTGCCCTGAGTACAAGTAGTGGCTAATTATTAAAAATAAGGCACAAGCTTTCCTCTTGGTTGATGGGGTAGAGCTTGGCCGCCCTTAACAAAGGGGTGATGGATAGTTAGTCCACTAGAGGGCGAGGGTTAGTGATAAATTAAGTTCGGTTGCAATGGCTTTAACGCTCTGAGCAATACGGGGGGCGGCTTCTGTCGCTGAAGCGATCCAAAGTTCCAAAGCTGTTTCAAACCTAGAGTCGAATCGCTGCCAGCGCTATCAATGGCAGTGCCGAGATGGCGCTTGCATTGACCAAATGGAGCGCTGCAACCGCAAAGTCGAGTGTGCAGATGGGAGCGACGAGACGAATTGCACATTTTGCACGCAGGAGAGTTTCCGATGCAACAATGGTACCTGCGTGAAAATGAGCCAACGCTGCGACGGCATTGAGGACTGCCCGAACTCTGAGGATGAAGAGCATTGCGGTTAGTCCGAAACGCTTGTCTCTGTTTTCTCTCAATCTCTTTTCCAGTCGGCTGTTCTTCGATTGGTCCTACTTTTGCTTACTGTACAGTTTCTTCGGCTCATTTCTTCTTTTGTAGTGTCTTTGACTGATCTTGTTCTTCTCGTTTTGACAGTGCTGTTGTTCTTGTTTCGGGCCGTTTATGGGGCGATTTTTTCGCTTCAAATTTGCGCGATTTGGGTTTACAGGAGAATGTATTTTCATGGAAGCTTGTTACTTATGATTCAAAAAGGTTCAGGAATGAGGCGGTTTTCTCACGTTTTTCGGGGTGGAGAAGAGCGAAAGTCGCTTCGCATTTCAATTTTTCATTTTTGAGGAGATTCGGGGATGAAACCTCGTTACGTGAAGAGTGAGGAAAAGAAAACTCCCGATCTGGAAAAGCTCACAGACTTAAACTTTTAGAATTGAAAGACAATATATTGCGCTAAAGGTTTTCAAAGTTTCACGCAATTCCCGTTCACCGCTCAGTTTTGCAAAAGTGTCCAATTCGCGCTTAAAAAATCTCGGCTTAAGAAAAAAGACGGCTGAAAATGTCCACATTTTTCGAAAGATCTTTAAAGCCAATGCATACAAAAGTATCCCCAACTTTTTCGAATAATTGGATTTCGCCAATTTTTTTTTAATGAATCACGCTTGTGTCTAAAAATTCATAAATCCGCCCCTGGACAGGACCAATGTGTGAAATTCTCCAGATTTATAGAAGACACCTGTAGCTCACTACGAAAAAAGTTCAATTCGATTCTTATGAACCAGTAAATTTTAAAAAAATTAGTCTGGAAACTTAATTTTCTTAAATCAAACATGCCTGTCTCAAAAAATTTACAACTCCCCCCCTGGGCAAAACAAACTTGTGCAATTTTCCAGATTTATCCAAGAAATTTTGCGCTCACTGTATGCAAAGATTCATATAATTCCTGAATGCCCGTAAAATTTGCATAATTTTAAGTTACTTCCGCAAAAACTCACTTTTCTAAATGAAACAGCCTGGTTCTAAAAATTTATAACTGCGCCTTCGGACATGGCAAAAATGTGAAATGTTCACGATTCTTAGTAGATGCCTTGTGCTTAATGTGCGAAAAATTTTGTTCAATTCCTACCAGCGGTTTTTTTTGATAAATTTTGAAAATCTTCCTGAAAAATTACGTTTCGGATGTCAAACATGGCGGTCTTTAAAAATTCGTAACTCCGCCCCTGAACAAGACAAAGTCGTGAAATTTTCCCGATTTATAGAAAAGCCCTGTAGCTCACCATGGAACAAAAATCATTCGATTCTTATGAACCAGTAAATTTGAAGAACATTTAGTCTGGAAAATTAATTTTCTTAAATCAAACATGCCTGTCTGAAAAAATTCACAACTCCGCCCCTGGGCAAACAAATTTGTGAAACTTTCCAGATTTATCCAAGAAATTATGTGCTCATTGTATGCAAAGATTCATATAATTCCTGAATGCCCGTAAAATTTGGATAATTTTAAGTGACTTCCGGAAAAACGCACTTTTCTAAATGAAGCAGCCTGGTTCTAAAAATTCATAACTGCGCCTCCGGACATGGCAAAAATGTGAAATGTGCACGATTTTTAGTAGATGCCTTGTGCTTAATGTGCGAAAAGTTTTGTTCAATTCCTACCAGCGGTTTTTTTTTCATAAATTTTGAAAATCTTCCCGAAAAATTACGTTTCGGATGTCAAACATGGCGGTCTTTAAAAATTCGTAACTCCGCCCCTGAACAAGACAAAGTCGTGAAATTTTCCCGATTTATAGAAAAGCC